GTCCGGAAGGGGCTCCGAGGACAGGCCGGTACCTCCTAAAAATGGATGAGGTCTCCTTCTCCATTCCTGTCAGCTCCTTTGTTTTAGTTTTTCAAATCATGGGTAAGATGAGGAATGTTGACTCTCAAAAAAAAAATCTTAGACAGAAAGCATGGTTTGAAGCCTCTCTTGTGATCTCTTCTCCAGGGAAGATGGCCCAAGAGTGCTATTAAGGGAAGACCACCCGTTGCTATATGGCCCTTATGACATCACTGTAAACAAATGAGAGGTCAAAGGTTAACACAACAGCCAATGCACTTGGTTTATGGATTTTGCTCAGTTTCCCATCCTCCTTCACTGCTACCTCCAGAGATGATCAGACCCGACCCAACCACTGCTGTCGAGTTGGTTCTGACACTAGGGGAGGGTAGAAAGGACCCGTAGGGTTCTTTATGGAAGTAAACTGCCACATCTTTCTCCCACAGAATGTCTGGTGGGTTCAAATTGCTGAGCTTTCGGTTAACAGCCAAATGTTTTACCTGCTGCATATCAGAGAAGAGAGAACACAAAAGTGGCAAAACCCAACCAAAGTTCCTGCTTAGACTTCTTCAAGTTTTTGAATTACTCTTAGATTAGAGAATCTTCTTTCCCTTTTAAGTGACAAATTCAGTTTGGACCAAACTCCAGAAAATGAAGGAAAAAGAGTACAAAGTCAGTGACTATTGGCATTTTAAGCCTATTCAGAAAATCCCTCACATCCTGTTCCAACACAAGTTTTTCCTCCAATCATCCAAGACCCTGGAGAGACAGATTGTAACTAGGCCCTTTCCCTGAGAGACCTGAATCACCGACCTGCTACGTTTGGCATTTCATGAACATTCAGAATGAACCAGGTGTTTCCAGTACATAGCAAGGACCAATGGGAGGTGGGAAGCCACCCAGGTGACCTCCCAAATTTTAAACCAACTACGTGTATTTCTCTCCTCCCTCCCTTTCTCTCTCTGCTTGGGGCTCAAGACTTTTGTTTCTTTTGAATAAGCACACAGACTATACTGACCTTGGAGACCCTGAGGGTCATCTGGCCACTGAGCCAGGTATCTGATGCATGGACCGTGTCACCAATGTCCTTAAAGGGTGGACAACAAGGCCCTGCTTGAACACTTTCTTACTTTGGTTGATAACTCAGCAGCCTGGATGGAGAACTTGCCCTGGATGTTATAGATGGTTAAAGCGGTCAGCTGCTCACTGCAAGGTTGGTGAATCGGATCCTTATGAGGGACCTTAGAGGAAAGGCCAACAAAGCGGCCACTGAAAGCCCGTGGAATGCAGTTCTACTCGGACACACGTGGGATTGCCAAGTCAGAACTGACTTGATGGCAAGTAGGTTCTGGTTCTGACTATGAGAAGAGTCCCACATAGAACAGAAAACCTGGAAAGCAGAAAACGTAAAGGTTTTTCTCGTCAGTCGAGAGGTTGCCTGGTGAAAGAACAAATGGACATATATTGGTGTTTACAAAAGGCAACTAGGACCCCTCACTGGACCGATTAGGAGTCTCAAGGTCCCCGCTCCGTCACCTTGTCACCGTCTTTTCTCGCTGTCTGCCCACGCCTACGGCTCCTTTACAGGAAATAATGTGTCTTGATCCTCTTGTGTCTCTTCTCTGCACTAACTCTAATCTGGCAACGTTCCTCTGTATCTTAGAGTCCTGGTGTGGTGCTTAAGGATAAGCACTGGACTGCTAACCTCAAGGTCAGCAGTTCAAAATAACCAATCTCTCCTTGGAAACCCTACACAGGGTCTATGGGAGTCGGAACCAATTCGACGGCACCCAACAACTGTATCTCAGTCTCGATCCTTCAGGTTCCCCTCAGCCTTGCCTGGAACTGTCACTTTCTGAACTAACTTTGGTCTCCCTGGCTTCTGCTGCTGGGCCATCTGATTGGGTGGCTTCCTCCCCAATACCTGTGCTCACTATTGCCTCTGACAAACGTGGCTTCATCTTCCAAGGGCACCCCAGCCTGCCTTGCTCTCCACTGCGTCCCCAGACCAGAGCAGAGAGTGGGAAGGCCGCTCCTTGGTTTTACCTCAGCATGAAAGCACCTCAGAAGGGACCTTCTTCCCTCCCCTTAACTACCCAGCACCTCCCAGGGAGTAAATGAAATCCTGGTGGCACCCTGATTAAAGCACTCACTGCTAGCCAAAAGGTTGGTTGTTGGTACCCACCAGCTGCTTTGTGGAAGATAGATGTGGCAGTCTGCGTCCGTAGATTACAGCCTTGGAAACCTTGTGGGACAGTTCTACCCTGCCCTAGGGTGGCTATCAGCTGGAATTGGCCCAATAGCCATGGGTTTGGTTCTAGCCTCCTGCGTAAGGAGGCCTGGTGGTGCAGCAGAGCATTTGGCTGCTAACTACAAGGTTGGCAGTTCAAGTCCCCTAACGCTCCGTGGGAGGAAGCTGTAACATCTGCCTCTGGGAAGACTGCAGCCTTACAAACCCTCCCGGGCAGCTCTCCTCTGTGCGGCCGGGTTAGGCACTGCATTGGTGGCCGTCCCATGGGCTGAGGAGAGAGGGTGTCTGATGAGTACCTCTAAGGTGGGTCTCCCCAGCTCACTGACTCCTGGGCACCCTGGTTAAACCATCTCACTGCTTTAACCATCATACCTGGGCGTCTTTCTCTGAGCTGAGCTGACTCGGGCAGGAAATAAACACACATGTACAAAACTTTGAGTGAAAGCAAAATGGGGGTGGCAGAGGGGAGAGAAAAAAGCATGCCCAGAGAAGCGAGTGGCCGCTGCTACTTCCTCCATCTGCAGAGACATGCCTCTCAACCTACCGACAGGGAGACACGTTCCCTCTATTTTGTCTCCTCCTTGGAAGAGCCACCCTCCAATTTTATTACCTCGCTTCCTCCTCTTGTCTAGTGACGTGCCGTCGACTCCTTCGGATCATTGGAGCTTGATGTTGAACGAATGCTTGCGTTGCTATGTTTGATGGCTTGTCCTTCCCGTCTTCCCTGAGTTGACCATGCTCAGTTCTCATAAGAGATTCACCAATAGGACAAGGCCTCCGTATCTCTCAGTTCATCCCTGAGAGGACCAGGGCCGCTTCCCGCTCAGACCCCAAATTCCACAGCTTAGAAGGCACTTATCAGAGTGACCCCCTCCTCCGCTCAAGAGTCCCTTCTCTCTGCCCACCCACATCCACCCCAGCCCTCCCCCGAGCGTATAGTCACCAGCGTGCACCCTTGAGAAACCAAGCCAGGCCTCAGAAAGAATAAAACATCTATTTTAATTGGGCAGTAAAATGCATCGCAAATCATTAGTATTTTATAAACAGAAACATTAAGTTACAAATCCATGTTAAAAATTGCAGTTCGGTGGTAACCTAATAGCTGTGTACCCCAAATTGGAGCTTTTACAACATTTTCCTCCACTGTTTCTTTGTGACAACAAATAATGTTACTAATTGCCATCTAGATTAAGAGTCAGAATTACAGTATTTCCAAAGGAGAGCAGAGAGAAATCATGGCAAGGCTGAATCTTACTATTTATTTAAACAGTGCTTCTAAAGCCGTCTGCTGAACCGCATGCCGTGTACCCTGTGAGATCTGCTTTCAGAATCCGCTTCTTCAGTAAACAGCTAGAGCCAGCAAGTCAGAGGGTGATGGGATTTGCCCCTTCAAGGCTTTCTCTAACCATGCCTAGTGTCCACCCTCATTTACTGCCCTGTTCGGCCTGCAGAGCCCCAGAGCTCCTTGGGGAGCTTCCTGGAGTAAGAGGCAGAGTGTTCATGGGGCGGAACCATCTGTGTGGCCCCAGTGTTCCAAGCTTACAGGATTGCTTCCCTTCTTCAATGCCTTTGAAGACCTTTACTGGGATTCATGGGATATCATTGGTCTCACTTAGTCATTCACCCCTTTCATGAGGATAAGTTTTATATCAAAGAGCTAATTAAAAACGGTCTTTTAAAAACATTAAGAAAAACAGCTTGAAAAATGCACATTTCTGTTTAAAAAACTCTTCCCCCCACCCCCCTCCCGCCCCCAGCGGTGACCAACACATGGACCCTTGATTTAAACCCCACCTAAAAACAGGTCAGCTTCGCACAGAGGCCTGATTCCAGTGGCGCGTGCAGGTTGTGGGGAGTTTCTCAAAGCAGTTGGCATGGCAGGGGTTCTAATCCACATGAAGGCAGGTGCAGCCAGAGATGCAGAGAGGGGGCTGGGTATGCACACCCTCCCCATTCCCAAGTCTTGATCCTGTCTAAGTCCCCATACACATCAAAGGCCATGAGCTCTCAGTAGCAGGACGGAAGTTCATATCCCCCAAAGATGAAGCGTATCCTCAAACGGGGTTTCTATGCGGTCCTACACATCCCAGACACAAACCTGATCCTTCAGCTGTGAACAAAACCAACAACACACAGCTGAAACCCCAGCCTGCCCTTCAGCAACCCAGGACAGCAGGCTCTTAAGAAACTAATAGTCATACCCTTAACATCAGCAAACGTGTTAAAAGTAGATTGCCTAAAGGGTTACCTACAAGTGTGCAGGGCAACTGTACAGAGACCAACAACAGCAACACCGCCCATGAAACAGAGTCTACGGCTCTACAGAACACACTGCTGGGAATCAGCTCAGCAAGGGTGCACTTGGTTTCTCCAGGGAGAAGGACTGATGGGTCTTGTCATGGGAAGGTCCATGCAGCTTGATCATTGAACTGATCACTAGATTCCCAAGAAACCAAAGCAAATTGGCAAATAAAACAAAACAAAACCAACAACACACAGGCCAGAAAGGCAGAGTTCGGGTCACCTGTCAGTGTCCGATGGATAAAGTGCAATTATTGTGACAATTCTGGGAGAGACGACAAACACACAAGTCTCAACGGTCTCCTGGCTGGATGCTGATAATTTAGACACTTTGATGAAATGGTGTTCGTACTTGTTCGGTCCTTTTTTTTTTCTTCATTCTTCTTTTGATTCTCAAAGAGTTTGGCTTTCTGGGACATTCTGCAGGCTTTTATATGGAATGAGTGGAAATCTCAGACTGCTGTCTGATGTAGCTTTGGAAACTCTTGTCTCCAATGGGGTGTTCCCTATGAATGGGAAAGAGTGGGGAGAAACACCATAAGGCACATTCCCTACTTGCTACCAAAGACAACATATATATGTGGGTGTGGATGAGGGTTTAAAGAAATGGGTGGAAAAAATGGAATTTTGGCATCCAGTCCACTTCTATCAACTTTTGAAGCCCCCGCATACAGCTCTGGTTACACAGTGGTTATGAATCAGGCTGTTAACCTCAGAGTCAATGGTTCGAAACTACCAGCAGTTCTGCAGGAAAAAGAGGCTTTCTGCTCCCATAAAGATTTACAGCCTCAGAAACCCTGTATAGAGTCGCTGTGAATTGGAACCAACTCCATTACACATAACAACAATAACCACATATTGCTAACTAAACCCTCTTTTATTCTATTTATGCACACATTCATTGTAATAAGTATAAAAATAAACATAAGCAAAAAGAAGAAAATAAAAATTAGCCCAAAACTCATCCCTTGAAGTTATAACCCACTGTAATCCAATTTGTTGTTCGTGTGTGTGTATATAGAACCATGAGCTCCATGTGGGACAGGATTTTGAGCAATTCTGTGCATTGTTGAATGTCTAGTTCTGGTATACACTGGTGTTCAATGCATGCTCGTTGAATGAGAGAAAACATCTGCAAACCTTATTGTTACGAGAACTAGGGTTGTGGTTTACATGTTAAACTTGTTGGCTTTTTTTTTTTTTTTTTGTAAATTAGCTGAAGGTTTACAGAGCGGATGAATTTTCCATTCAGCAGTTCACGCACATTTGTTTCAGGTTATTGATTGCAGCCTCACAACGTAACATCACTTACCCCCTTCCTCCCTGGGTTTCCTGTCTCCATCTCTCCTATCTTAACCCTTCTGTCCATGGGTAAATGTCAGGACAGCACACATCTTCAACAACTGTTTGATTGTTGTTGTTGTTAAGTGTCAACTTGTTGGCTTTTTGACTATGAGGTTACTGATGTCGTTGTGTACTGCTGAGCCAATTCTGACCCTGAGGCCTTGTCACATTCCTACTGGGAGGACAGAGCCGTACTGATGCTAATTAACGACCCAACAGTGAACCTGGAAGGAGCGGTCACTATGCGCCAGGTACTACTGTAAGCCCATTATTCAATGCAACTCAGTCGTCTCCCAACAACTTTGTGAGGCACGTCTTTTAGGCTCTGATTCAAAGAGTGGGAGAACGAGGTTTAAAGAGGTTATAAACTTGCACGTGGCTACGTGGTGTGATGATCAGTCTTACGAGGGGGCTTCCAAAAGTTTGTGGGGAAATGGCATTATCTTTACAACATCATATATATATATAGAGCTCTGGTAGCGTAGTGGTTACAAATCGAGCTGCGAACCGCAAGGTCAGCAGTTCAAAACTACCAGCTGCTCCGCAGGAGAAAGATGAGGCTTTCTACTCCCGTGAAGATTTACAGCCTCGGAAACCCTGTACAGGGTTCACTATGAGTTGGAACCGACTCCACATGACAACACCATGACAACAACAACATATATATATGTTTATATATATGTGTATATATATATGTGTGTGTATATATATATATACGTGTATATATATATGTGTGTGTGTGTATATATATGTGTGTGTGTGTATATATATATCGTTGTCGTTAAGTGCCATCAAGTCGATTTCAACTCATAGCAACCCTGTCTAGGGTTTCCGAGGAGCAGCTGGTGAGCTTGAACCACCGACCTTGCTGGTGTGTTGCTGTAGGATCAGCACTGTACTGAGAACCGCAAGGTTAGCGGTTCAAACCCACCAGCTGCTCCATGGAACCCTCTACAGGGATGGCACTTAACCACCACAACGTTGGAGAGCAAGTCTGGGAACCATGGAGGACAGGGAAAGTGATGAGTCCAGATATCAGAAAGGCCTGAGGAAACTAAGAGTCAGGCAGGGAGGTTTTCTGAGCAGGATTTTGGAGGACACTGGCTGGAGGTGTTGGTTCCTGTCGCCTTGATCCCCATGTTCACGAGGCTCTGATTACTGCATCCAACCTGCACCTGGAACCAGTACACACTCCCTTCCTCACCCTCAGCTGCGCTCCCACACACGTGATCCTAAGCATCTGTGGCCTCCCCCTGCAGCTTTCACAACCCCCTGACAAGATGGAACATGTAACCCAAGGGGTTCCCCAGGGGCAGACACCGTACTCACTGGCTTCCGTATTTCGTCTTCTTGAATTTGTCCCGTTTATACTGAGCATGTTCCTGTTCCAAAGTTCCAACCCCAGCGATGATCTGCTTTAGTGTCTTGTACGTCTCCTGCGGATCGTCAATGATGAACGTTGAATACTCCTCCTGTTCGGGCCCATCGTAGACAGATTTGCTCCCACAGGCCTCTGTAACAACAGAAACGGGGAGGAGCTGTGAAATGGCATCTGGCAGGGGAAGTGGGTAAACTGGGGTCCTGGAACGCAGGCCCGGTTCTAGCTCAGTCTTCTCGTTGGTACACTTCCCAACACAGCTGAAACGGGCAGCAGTGGTTCCGCAGGAAAACTCGCACCCTCCATGTGGGAATTGGGCTCCTGGTGTGGCACTGCAGGTTAGTGTGCTGGACTGCAAGGTCTGTTTGAACCACAAGGTCGGCAGTTCAAATTCACCAGCAGCTCCTCGGACACCCAATACAGGGTGAGTCAGAACTGACTCCACAACACTTAATATCGACAACAGTGTGGAAATTGGACGCCTGGTGTGGATCAGCACTGGACTGACTGCAAACAACAAGACTGGCAGTTCAAACCCACCAGCTGCTCCTTGGAAATCCTATATAGAGTCTTAACAACAATATGTGGGAATAGTTTTCTTTACTTACAGTTCAAGGGGAAACCTCTTTTTTTTTTCTCTTCAATATTTTAAACTTTATTTTCAGTAGAACTGAGGAGATAAAAAGTTATATGGAGCTAACTTAAGACATAAACAGATTTTTATGTGACGCTTCTGAAGAAAAATAAAGGCTGTGATTAAATTAATAAACTCACTGTTAAACATACAAAGCTAACTTCAAAGACGTTGCTGTTAGGTGCCATCGAGTCAGTCAGTACTGACTCACAGTGACACTGTGCACAACAGAACAAAACACTGCCCGGTCCTGGGCCAACCTCACAATTGTTGCCACACTTGAGACCACTGATGAGACACATTGACAGAGCATCTGCTACCACAGTTTAAACGAAGGAATGAAGTGAAGATATGGCAGAGTGGGCACTGTTCTGTTGTATTGTACACAGGGTCGTTATTAGTCAGAACCAACTCATAACTTAACAACATGGTAAGGGGCCCTGGTGGTACAGCGGTTAAGTGCCTGACGCTGAAGGAAAAGTCAGAGGTTCAAACCTACTAGTCACTCCACAAGAGCAAGATGTGGCGATCCGCTTCCATAAAGATGGCCACCTAGGAAGCCCTACCGAGCCCTGTTCTATTCTGTCCTATAGGGTTGCTGAGTTGGAAATGACCCAACATCAGCAGGTTTGTGGTTTTTGGTTGTTGTTGTTAAGTGCTGTAGAGTCAGTTCCGACCCATAGCGACCCTGTGTAGGGTTTCCGAGGAGCAGCTGGTGAGCTTGAACCGTGGACCTTGCAGTTCAAATGGCTTTGCAGTCTGATGCATTAACCTACAGCGCCACACCAGGATTCTTTTGTTTACTGTGTTCTTAATTTTAGTTTTATATTTTTCAGTTATGGAATTACAGGCTAACTCTTTTTTAAATCAGCCCTTTTGCTTTTAATAATTTCCCGTTTCTTGCCAAAGTTTTCAGGTGTTGGCTTTTACCAGCTGAGTCCACTGATTCCATGATCTGTTTCCCTACCAGCGATCCCCGAGTCACGCTGTTTCCCTTCCAATGGACCCCCGAGTCACGCTGTTTCCCTTCCAGTGGACCAGGGTTCTAGAAGATCCCAAGCCAGAACCACATAAAGGCCACTTGCCCTCAAACGCTCAGCCCAATGGCACCTAATTTTTGTCTCACCAAGGGTGTTTCTGAAGGTCTATGAAGCATGCAAAGTTCTTAAATGTCAGTGATATCTAAGCTGGCACAGAATATGGTTTAAAAATGCAATACTAGCTATAAACACACACACATAGGTCCTTCTGGAAAAGACAAAAGAAAAAAGTTCCTAGTTTGGAGATACGGCGCATTATTAAGTCATAAGAACTGCTCAGTCATTTGGCCATTTAGATGATGTTGTGAAGTGCCATTGAGTCAGTTCTGACCCATAGCGATCCTGTACAGGGTTTCCAAGGAGCAGCTGGTGAGCTTGAACCACCAACCTTGCAGTTCAAACGGCTTTGCAGTCTGGTGCATTAACCCACAAGCACCACGCCAGGACTTGATACATGTTATTAAAGTCATATAGATCCTGTTATTAAATGAACCATTTCCCAAACAGCTGCCTAAGTCACATAAAGCTTTTGCTTGCCAGTGTTAAAAACAAAGACACCGCCTGTGGGGCAGACCATGAATGTGCCAGATGAAATATTTGTCACTTTTACAAACGCATCTCTGGAGAATAACCCATGTGGTAGTCAGGGCTCAGCCGCGGTGCTTCACCCTCACGTCTACGGGTCTTGCTTGACAAGCTGCGTACTGCTCCCTCAGTTCTTACCTTGCATCTTCTCCATTTTATTCATATACAGGTTAAAGAGGGAATAGATCCGCTCCGTCTCCCGGTCCCCATCAATGTCAAGCTGTATGTTTGCTGGAAGGCCACTGTTCAAACACAGAGAGAGAAGAACACGAAGTTGCTTTTAATTAGGGTGTTAATATTTCAAATTCATTAAAGAAAGAAGGTTAAATGACTCAGCATCAAAGCTGATCCCAGACTTGGGGACACTTGGCAGGGGGAACTAAAGGCTAGAGCTCAGGCACCTGTGTTTGGAACACAGACCCTCTCACAAGCATTTAGAAACGTGTGTCCACATTCTTAGGAGTCTGGAGGCTTTTTGTTACTACGGGTCTCTGAAACATCACACAAGCAATACAGACTTGGCTTTGCTCAGGAAATAAATGATCTAGATTAAACAATATCTACCGTCTACACTCTGGTAGCGTAGTGGTTACGAATTGGGCTGCGAACCTTAATGTCAGCGGTTCGAAACTACCAGCTGCTCTGCGGGAGAAAGATGAGGCTTTCTACTCCCGTAAAGATTTACACCCTCGGAAACTGTGTACAGGGTCGCTATGGGTCGGAACCAACTCGACGGCACTTAACAACAACAACAACAACCGTCTACAGAGGCCAGTGCTGGTTCGCTGAGAGAATCCCCATCTTCTACGTGGCAGACCTGGTGTGGCGCTGTAGGATAAGCACTGGACTGCTAGCTATAAGGTTGGTGGTTCAAACTCACCAGCTGCCCCTTGGAAATCATATATAGTGTCACTATGAGTTGGAACTGACTCCACGGCACTTAACACCAACAATGTGGAGGACCTAAGTTCAATTCCTGGCCAGGGCATCCTATGTACAGTCCCCCTCTCATCTGTCAGTGGGGGCTTATGTGGTGCTACGATGCTCAGCAGGTTTCAGCAGCGGTTTCAGACTAAGACAGACTAGGAAGAGAGGCCTGGAGAACTACTTCTGAAAATCAGCTAATGGACAAAAGGAGGGAGTGACTGACTCAGCATTCCAGGAGCAGAGGTCCCTGGGACCATCAAGGGAGAAGAGCAGAGAGCGGGATCCTACCCAGAGAAGCAGTGATGCCTGAAATGGAGGCAGAGACGATGACGTGGAGAGATGGAGCAGTCGGGGACTTTAGACACAGAGAGGGAGAGCGACTGTGTGCTGATGACCAGGGTACAGACTAGTAGTGTATACCCACCCTTTGGTTGGTTGATGATGCTTGGAGGGGACTGTAACCATGGCAATGAAACAATATACGATAGGATGAATGTAAAACTAATGTTCTCCCATGTACACTCTATCATATAATTCACAAAACATTAAAAAAAAAAAAAAATCAGCTCATGGAAACCCTAAGTTTGTTCTGCAAGCTGTTGGTGGGATGGCATGGACCGGGCAGCAGGTCGCTCCCTGGGTCAGGGGTCACCATGAGTAGGCCAACTCAAATGGCAGTGAACAGTAGCCACTTGGACGTCGTGCTCCCTGAAAGGCCAGCTGTGTGTTGGGTCCCACCACTCAGACAACACTTCAGGTGGGAACAGAGCGGGGTCCTCCCCCTCCTGTGGAGGCAGCTGTGGGGTCTTGGGGAAATGGCACCAGAGTAGCCATAGGGCGAGGGGTGGGCAGAGAGCCACTTCCTTCCTCCCCTGAGTCTGCCTTGGAGAGCATGGTGGCCAGTCTCAGGAGAAAGACTTCCGGTGTTTCGATCACCTAGAAATGCAGAGTTTGAATCCCACTTCACTGCACAATGATGGTGTGGGGCCAGTCTTATTTCTCCTGAGTCTCAGCTTCTTCCTCTATCAAACTGGACCGTACAGTTCCCACCTCAAAGGACTCTGTGAGGAGCAAGTGTGCTAGGCACTCAGTACACACGTAGCCCACTGTGGGTGTTCCCCCAGTGAGAGCTATCACCACACCAGTGTCGGGATCATAGGCACAGGTCACATGTAACAGGGAAGTGTCACATGACTGGCACTGATAACGGGTGGCCTCTCATGACTCACAGGAAGTCCAGCTGAACAAAGAACCAAGGAGCTGCCTCAGTTTCCAAAGGGAGTGGAAGTAGCAGGCGTCAGTCAGAGAGACCATACTGGGGTGGTTCCTCTCTAAGCAGGATGAAGTTCTCAGGGGGGTGGGGGTAGAGTATTTGCCGACCCTTCTTTGAAGAATAAGACACAATAACCCTAGGGGTACTTTCCTCTGCATTGTGTTCCCACTTTAACCCTATCCTGCCCTAGTCTGAGCTTGTCAGCCCCCATCCCACTCTAAAACAGGAGGACTTATGGGTGGCTCAGAGCTCACTGCTAGTTTTTATAAAGCTTGTGTGAAGATTAGGAACATTCTGGGTGGAAGACTCAGAAAAAGGTCTATCGGCCCCTTCCCTAGACAACTTAGAAGACAAACAAAACTAAACACGCCTGCGAGGAGACACAGTACCGAGTGGATATGAAGGTGTTTTCAGTCACCTCACACCCCTGGCCCAACTTCTTTGTGCTGTGTGCAGTCTAGACCACTGTCCTCAGCAGCCCTGGGTGGCGGCTGGGAGCCGACGGGTGGGATGACCGTGCAGTATCCTTATGGGCAGGCCATCTGCGCACTTACCCGGTACAGGGGGTGCAGCCGGGGGCCGAGTCTGAGGAGGCCTTGCAGCATAGCCAGTGACCGTTCAGGTAGGCGGAAGGGTGGTACACAGTCAGACGCTTCTTGTTGCACTGGCTGACCTTGGTGAGGATGTCAATCCAGTCCTTGGCCTCCACACAATTGTTGGCCTGAATGTACAATGCTCTCTCGGGCTGAATGACCTGGAACATCTGAGGAGATGCACACACGGGCTTAGGAGGGGCAGTGGAGCAAAGCCTCTCACACACGGGCCAATGAAGAGATGGGAAAGATTCTGGTGTGGCGCTGTGCGTTCATGCGCGGGACTGCAAAGTCATTTGAACTGCAAGGTTGGTGGTTCATGCTCACTAGCCGCTCCTCAGAAACCTTATACAGGGTCGCTATGGGTTGGAGCTGACTCAACGGCACTTAACAACAACATAGCCTCGTGTCATTTACTCCATAAATTTTACAGTCTAGTGGGTAGCTGTTGTTGTTGTTAAGCGCCATCAAGTTGGTTCTGACCCACTGTAATCCTGTCTGGGGTTTCCAAAGAGTGGCTGGTGAGTTTGAACCACCGACCTTTCAGCCCAGTGCATTATTCTACAGTGCCACACCTAGATTCTTAGCTGGCTGTTATTTCTGATTTTTGACAAAGGAGGACAGAACCCCAGGGACTGTTGGTCTGCGGCTGTGCGGCTCTAAAGGACCAAATGTACACCAGCACCAGACTTCCTGCTGCGCCTAGAACCCCACGTTCCCAGAAGCCATGGCCCTTCCTTTGGAAGACAAATGGAGTGAGAGGGAGGGAGGCAGCTGGGCTTCATTCTCAGCCCAGGTGACTCTGGAGTCAGCCTGGCCAAGTCATTTCCTGCCTGGGGCTTCAAGGGTTGTTCAAAAAGCAAAAGAGGGGCACTGCTTATTTCTCCTACTTCAGGGACATCCTGAAGTCTCACCATGGAACTGCTATATACAGCCGATTCTCATTTTTCTCAGTAGTTACATTCTAGAAAGCCCCTCTAGTCACTTTGCTAGCAGACGCGGAACCAATGCTGTTGGACCTCAGCCGGGAATGGGCATATCGGGTGAAGCAGCCTTTTTGTTGCTCTGAGCATGTGCAGCTCTGTGAGCAACCACAAAAGCGCTGTGTCTGTTAACTTGGGGTTACAAGGAAACGTTAGCAAGTAGGTAAATATGCAAAGATGGAACCTGCAAATATGCAGACTGATTGCACATACATACATACATATACATGTTAGGATTGTTCCTCTGGCCATTTTACTTTTTAAACTTCTAAATTTGTTAAATTGGTATGCTGAGCAAATAATCTGAGAAGCTGAATTATGTGAAGAAGAATTTGGCCTCAGGATTACAGGAAGACTCATTAATAATCTGCGATATGCAGAAAACCTCTTTACTTCCAAGACGCAAGTTACACAAACTTGCTTGCTAGATGTGAGCAAGACTTAAACCATGTACTGATGAAGATCAAAGACCACAGCCTTCAAAATGGATTGCACCTCAATTTAAAGAAAACAAACATCCTCATAACTGCACCAGTCAATAATATCAAGAAAATGTAAGAAAGATTGAAGTTGCCAAAGACTTCATTTTGCTTGGATCAACCATCAACACTCATGGAAGCAGCAGTCAGGAAATCAAAGGACGTATTGCATTACACAAATATGCTTCACAAGACCTTTTTAAAGTGTTCAGGAGCAAAGATGTCAGTTTGAGGACTAAGGTGCGCCTGACCCAAGCCATGGTATTTTCAATAACCTCATATGCATGTGAAAGCTGGACAATGAATAAGGAAGACCATAGAAGAATTGATGCTTTTGAGTTATGGTGTTGGAGGAGAATATTGAAAGTGCCATGGGCTGCCAAAAGAACCAACAGATCTGTGATAGAAGAAGTGCAGCCTGGATGCTTCTTAGAAGCCAGGATGGCCAGGCTTTGTCTCTCATGCTTTGGACATGTTATCAGGAGGGACCAGTCCCTGGAGGTCATCATGCTTGGTAAAGTGGAGGGTCAGTGAGAAAGAAGAAGGCCCCTAACAGATGGATTGCAACAGTGGCAGCAGCAATGGGTTCAGGTGTGACAAGGATTTTGAGGATGACACAGGACCGGGCAGATTGTCGCTCTGCAGTGCACAGAGCTGCTATGAGGCAGAACCACCTTGATGACACCTAGCAACAAAAACAAACTTAAAACATTTTTCAAAACTGTCACATAAGATGCTTGAAATCTCAGTCTCATCCCTACCCCAGCCTTTGTTCTCATCTTCACTGTTCCCCTCTCCCCACCACCCCACCACTCCCCCCGCATCCAACAAAGCTGTGTTCTAGTCATCCTGACCTACTTCTAGAGGTTCCTGCCTCCGAGCCTCTGCACAGAATGTCGTTCCATCTGGAATGCTCTTCTTTATCCTAGTTGACCACCCAGGCCACCGACTTCCTCCTCCAGGGGAGGTACAACTTCCTCTCAGAACGTCCATTGCTGCTCCCATGGACAACTCATTCAACACATACTACTGGTGTCCACAAGGTGCCAGGTACTACGCTAGTTCCTGGGGACAGTGTGACCCAGTGGAGTTCTGATCCTCCTGCAGTTCAGTCAGGAGAGACCAATGAAAACAGTCAGGAGCCATGTGTGTGTTTATGTGTGTGTAGGGGGGGCATCTAACATGGTGTCAGGAAAGGATTCTACATCAATGACCCTCCAACTAAGATCAGAGGGTGATGATGAATCCATTAGACAATGTGGGGGGAGTGTGGTGGCTCTAAGGATAAGCACTGGACAGTGAACCACAAGGTGGGCAGTTCAAGTCCACCAGCCGCTCTGTGGAAGAATGATGAGGTTTTCTCCTCTTGCAACACCTTGGAAACCCCATATAGGGTCACTGAGTCAAAATGGACTCAACAGCACTTATCAGCAACAGAAAGTGCAGGGCGAGGAAGTTGCTATGAAATTTGTCCTCTAAAATATAACTGAAGTTTTGGCCCTCATACTTTCAAATATGACCCTGTCTGTGATATTAATTAAGTCACATTCATGTAGGGTGAGCTCTATATGGAACCACTTCTGAATTATAAAAAGAGCAGAATGGGTACAGAGAGAGAGATGCACAGGGACAGACAGATGGCAGAAACAGATATATCTGTAAGGATTGTTACCAGCATTAGACAAGGAAGGACGGTCCCCTAGAGCCACAGCCAGCGTTCTGAACTGTGAGAAAATAAAGTTCTGTTCTTTAAAGCCACTCCCTTGTGCTGTTTCTGTTATGGTAGCACTAGGTCACTAAGGCAGAGAGCACTTCCAGAAGGAGAAAGAGTAGGTGCAAAGGCCCTGAGGCAGAGAAAAGGTGGGCGCTCTCAGCAGGGAACGGGCTAGGCTACACACAGGAAGTGAGAAAGGAGCTAGAGCAGCGGGGGGTGGGGGTGCGGGGTTAGGGCAGGGCAGCGAGCTCTGGGAGGGCCTAGGCTGCACTGATCCGAGGATGACAGGGGTAAGAGAGGGAACACCAAGAGGAAGACTGTTGTTGGAACCAGAGTTGACAATGACCTTCACTAACAGGGGGGCACAGAGAGGCAGAGGAGAAGAAGATGATTCAGTTTGGAGGACCATGAATTGGCCTGGATGTGAGGTGAAGCTGACGGAGGAGTTAAGGTGATCCCAGTTTCCTGGGTGAATAGCTGACAGCTCATTCACAGAGACCAGGATGTCCCTCAATCATACACCCCCTGCACACCCCCGTACACTGCTGTGCACATCTCAAATGTTCAGGCATCTGTGTGCAACCTCCTCACAAAGGAATTATGCTCTGGGCACCAACACAGGCCTGGCCTCGCCAACAGGGCCCAGAACAGGGTACCCATGATAGCAGTTACTGTGGCATCAATCCCGACTCTTATGTGTGTGCTTCCAAGGAGAACTGAGCTCCATGGAGTTTCCTTATCTGTGACCTTTTATAAGCAGCTCACCTGGCCTGTCTTTGAAGGCACTGCTGGGTGGGTTTGAACTGCAAACCTTTGGATTAGAAGCCAAGTGTTCAATTGTTTGTGCTGTCTGGGGACATCTTGTTGGTACCCAGCAGGCCTTCAGAAATACCTCTCAAATGGAGAGGAAATTTAGCGCAACAATTCATACCACAGGCATGAGGGAAAAAAAACGCCAAGGAAAAGCTAATGCCAAAATTAGGGAATGACTTGAACCCTAAATGAAGGGCCTGACAGAATGAACTCAGCTCACAGGTGTTTCCAGAACATTCCCACACTTGTTTCCTTCCATGGGGCAGTGTGGGAACACCACAGGATTTACGGGCCAGCATTCACTACTATTCTAGGAGTGACCCACGGCACATGGCAGCCCTGAGTCATGTCTTCTGCCCCCCTCCCTCTGCTGCAGCGGCCTGGTTCTGAATCACAGGCCCAGAAACAGCCTGTCACGAGCTGAGGCCCTGCAGATGCAGCCTGCCCCGTGTTTAAGAACACTACGCGTGGGAGGGGAGAAGAGAGCGATCCAAGGCCAACAGCCTGGACATTTCAGTCTCCTGGAAGAGGTACGAAACCAACAAACCAAATTGATTGCTGTCATCGTGTCAACTCTGACTCATCGCTACATGTGTGCTGAGTAGAACTGCATTCCGGAGGACTTTCAAAGGCTGAGACCTACCCTTGTCTTCTCAGTCATCTCTGGGTGGGGTTGAACTGCCAACCTTTCTGTTAGTAATGTTAATGATTTGCACTGCTCGAAGACCCAGAAAAAGTACGAGGAAGAATCTTTCAGTTACAAAAGTACAGCCATGTCTCCCATTAGAAGATCTGCTTTTCCAGGGAAATCATTCTCAAATAACCCCAGTAGGAGGGGATGCTTGATCTTAACAATGACCAGAAATGGAGCTATGATGGGCGTTTAGCTCCATCCCTAAGTGGAGGGAAACTACTGTCTGCGGATTGGTCCCACCACCCCTTCCCTCCTCTCCTAGCAAACAGAAATACCCCATGAGATGAAGAACAGCGTCTGACAGCCCATATGTAGAAGCCAATTCATCTTGACACTTCCTTCAACACTGGCTGATAGGTGAGGTGATTTAGGAGACCCCAAGGGTTCCAGAACACAAACGAACCACAGGGCTTGTCTTGGATTTAATCTTTATGGCAGCAGATTCTGTGTCTTCCACAGAATGGCTGGGTGGGTTTGCACTGCCAGT